TGTGTGTGTGTGTGTGTGTGTGTGTGTGTGTGTGTGTGTGTGTGTGTGTGTGTGTGTGTGTGTGTGTGTGTGTGTGTTCGACCTCTACCCACTGAATTCCAGCAGTTAACTTTTTCAAGTGACCTAGGCCCGTCCGCGGGCGCAGATTTCTCAAATACGTCGAGCGACATTTTAGTAGACTCATGATGGACATAGGAAAGTCACTTCTCAATTGGAGTCATGGCGGACTCAGTGAGTACACCAATAAACCGTTGAAATACAGACTGACGTTTGAACCCAGACTGTAAGATGAACAGAACAAAATCATTCTTTTTTTTTTTGGAAATAGAACAAATTCAATTCGACGAGGACATCTCAAAGCCGTCCTCTTTTGAACCGGAGAAAAGAAATGGCCAGCGGCACTGCGGAACAAAAGCAGCAACGGCACTTTCTACAGTCCCCCACGCTGCACAGTTCAGAGGTTCGAGCCTGCAATACCCCGGAAGAAACCCCAAACGAAGTAAAAAACAAAGCAATGGCAACAGGCAGGAAAAAGAAAAGAAAAAAACAAAAACAAAAACAAAAACAAAAACCTGTGACTCTGACACACTTCAACGCACGAGGCACTATTTTTTAAGGACTCGTCATTCTAAAAAGAAAAGAAAGAAACTAAGCAAACAAAAAGTGGCGTACGATGCACAGGTCGAAGGTCCAACTCCGCACTTGCCGAAATCACAACCCGAACAAAGTACAAAACAAAACAAATAACCTGTTTTCTGACAAAAGTACAACAGGCAACGCTCCTTGATTTCAGGATTGCTCATTCGATAGGCAAAAATCCACAGCTGAAACATATGAATACACAACCATGCTCCGTGTCAGATGGGGTCGGACACAATTCACCGAAAAGGACCGTCTAGACAAAACTCCTCCGCCGATTTTCAGATCCAAACGCCAGCAGTAAAAGTTTTACAAAGTTTATCGGCACGCAGCGTTATGGTTTATCGGCGCGCAGTGTAAGGCTATTAGGTGTTTGTCGTAGATATCGTTGTCGGCATTGTCATCATCATTGCCACCATCACAATCACCATCATCATCATCATCATCCCCGTCATGAAGAAATCCCCTCCCTCCACTTCCCCCAGCCATCTCCACCCCCTCTGCACATATCCTACAAATGCTTTCCACTGAGCGTTTCCGTGCAACAGAAACCTTCACAGGGAGAGGGCAAGAATCAGAATGCAAGAAGACAAAAAAAAAAAAAAAAAAAAAAAAAAGCCAGCTGCAACCAGGTGGTTTGGCAAACTGCTGATAGGTTGGATGAACATAAGAACCTTGACCATCAGCCGGTAAGCGTTGCCAGTTAGCAAGATCCTACACGGCACTGGAGCGAAAAAGCTCCAGTGGAGCAATACGCTTGTCTACTTTTATACCGGGTTTCCTTCAGTCAATTCACTTACTCTCTTTTGACGTTTTTCCTGGTGTCCCTCACTCGCTGAATAGATAACCAGGCTGCTGAGACTCTCAATCTTTTGCTGCTGTAACTTGAGTTTCTTCTCATTCTCAGCCTTCTGTTCCTCCAACTCAAAGGCAATTCTCTCGGCTTGAAATTCAGCCTGAAGAAAGAATAGGAAGAGAGGGATATTAGATAGGAGAAAAGAGTCTAGCAATCAGATAGGCAAACAGCAGGAAGGCAGGCAAGCACACTTTAGGGACACAAAGAGAAAAGCAGACTTTTTGCTGAGAAAGAAAATCTGAAGACAGCTGCAAAGCCCAGCCACACTATACCTCATTGTCCTTGCACATCATTACCTCCAACACCCCAGGTTCAAAACTGTTTCTTTTCTCCCCTTCTTTTTTTTTTCCGTATCTTAGACTGAATGCAAGAGGATTTGGACTGATATACGTTCATCAGCAGGCGTATGTGTGTACTACCCATCGATGTACAGCTGGTGTACCCAAGTGCAAAACATACTTGCAGAGTATAACCAAAACATTTGAAATCAACAAATCAATCATGAGTACGGACACAAACATGGCAAGTATGGGTTTCTTCAACAGCATCCCCATATCAGCCCATGATCCCAAGGTCCCATTCAGCATAGATAATGTTCCTGACACCGATCCAAGGAAACAAGCTCTCAAAGATGATGCAAGAGTGCACAGCAGAAGACTGGAAATACCAGGACTAACTCAGTGAGGACTGAATGCAACTCATCATCATCATGCAGGTGGGAGAGACTCAGTGCTGCATACACAGAAGGAGCGCTGAGTCTGGTACATCATCCACAGACGAAGGCATGGAGGAGAGACAAAGGAGAAGAGGAGAGGGGGAAGATCAGCCACCATAGCCCGATGAACCCAGTCTCCAATATGTCCCCCAATGTCGCTGCTCAACAATGTCGAAGTCGCAATGTCACTGTAACGGGCAGAGCCCAAAAGTCACCATAGTCTCTCTCTCTCTCTCTCTCTCTCTCTCTCTCTCTCTCTCTCTCTCTCTCTCTCTCTCT